GAGAACGTACGTGTGTAGAGAGAGAGAGAGAGATTTTTTGAGAGAGAACAAGAAAAGGGGAAAGGGGACTTCTGATAAGGACTATCTATGAACTTTATGTTTTGATCTCCATGTTGACAAGTCGTGAAGCACAGTATATTATTATAGCCTACCAGTAGTTTAAAAATCAAGAAAGGCGGTGGGTTGGAGGTTAGCGGTATGGGTAGGGTAGGAGCAGAGACTCTTAAATATAATTAAATACTCTCTGGTAGGAGGAAAAAACCCACAAAACAAAACAAAGCAAAAAAAACAACAACAAAAGAAACAAAACAAAACAAAACAACTCAACAGTTGTCTTGCCGAGTACCGGTAACAGAAGATTGTTAAACAGACAGAGAGTAAATCAAAAATGGGATAAAAATTTACAAACTGTATTAGGTGCGCAAATACTATAGTCTTAATTGTTAGCTTGTGTCGTTGGGTTCCTTAGCATTATCTCACTCATTGCTCCCCCCCCCCCTTTACCTGTCAAGTATTTCTTGCTTGCCTTCATCTCTGACCGAAATCACCGCTCATATTCAGGTCGTAACTCCTCATTGCGTTGTAAATGCACTAATTACAATTCGATGAATAAAAGGCTGGCTCAGCATTACACAAAGGCGATCAGGCAGTCCCAGAATAAAAGTGCAAAGTCTGTTTAGCAAACAGAAGCACCGATGAAATCACATCCCATCTGACGCAGCCCTGTTGGCCCTGCCTACCGAATCACGCCTTGCTGCAGTTCGATGTTCGGAGAAATCAAAAGCGTCGAAAAGTTCACACCTGGGTATGATCCTTTCATTATAAAGGCCCCTGCGCCTGAAGCAAACATATTGTACCACTCATCGAGAAATTTAGAGTGGGGATGTGATCGTATGTAGATCTATGAGTGTGAATGATCTATGAAGGCTTTTTAGTTCAGTAAAACATGATCTAAAATCGGGGACTTCAGACTCCAGAGTGGGATCTTAGGGGTGACTTTTGTTTAGTAAAAAAAGATTTTTAAACTGGGGGTTTCGTTTTTTTTCTTTGTTTTAAAACAAGGGAATCTTAAGTGAACTGGGATCATAAACATAAACAATATGATCTCAGATGGAGACTACTATGGTAGTATTAAAGAAGGTTCAAACTCGTTCCACCCCCACCCAATCTTTCTTTAACAGTCACCGTTATGTTGTTAAGCAGGTATATATAGGCACACCTACTGATTTTTTAATGTAATTTGGAGCCGCTTTGACATCTACATTTAGACCAATAGTAATGAAATAAATGGGTTTTAAAACATAGGCCTATTGTAAGTCTACTGATTGCTTAATCTCAAGGACCTCAGAATAAAACCTTATCTAGATTTCAGCAAAGATAGTACAAAAACTTTGATTTCAGTGCGTGAGTCAGGCAGCGCGCAGCACAGGTTGACCATGGTACCGCCACGAGAGGGGGCTTCTCTCAGGCATGCGTTGCCGCCCACAGAGCAGCCTCCATTAGGCTACCCAAGGCCTATTCAAAAACTCCTTGGGCCTATTGTAACCTCCTTGACATTGAACCAAGGAGATTAAAAGTAATGGAGGATGCTCTGTAGGCGGCACCGCACGCCTGATAGGAGCCCTCTCTCGCGGCGGAACTGTGGTCTACCTGCGCTGCGCTTACGCACTGAAATCTAGATAAGAAAGAAAGTTTTATTCCGAGGTCCTTGAGATTAAGCAAGTCAATTAGTAAAAATGCTTTGCACCTGTGTTGTATTTAAGTGTAAGAACCTATATGATGCTGCAGTGGACCGAAGTTTTCACAGTAAAGTCGTTTTCCTTTTAAAAAAATTGAATAAAAGTGTTTTTATGCCCCCAGCAACACAATTTAGATCTAGATCATTAACATTCCTAAGAGGCTGGCTCCGGCGCTACCTGCCAAGGCCAAACAGACTGAAAGGGAAACAACACCCCAGCAGAAAGACCGAGATACTCAATTTTTAAAAAAGTATTCTTATTCTTATTCTTTTATTTATATAATTAGTTTGTGTATATATATATATGTGTATATATATATATATATATATATATATATATATATATATATATATATATATATATATATATATATATAATTATTATGTGTGTGTGTGTGTGTGTGTGTGTGTGTGTGTGTGTGTGTGTGTGTGTGTATACACATTATACATTTTAATTAAAGATATTGCTTTCCATTGTGTGTGCAAATTGGATGCTACTGTTGTCTAAATGTAGCTATATCTAGAGGCTCCATTAGAATATGAAATCAATACTCAACAACAATAATGATGAATATTTTCTATGTTAAAGAAACACCAAACCATATCAGATGAGGGGAGAGGGTAGGGTGGGGTGGATAAGAGTTTGAGTCTTGTTATATAGAACTATACTCGGTTTAATGCTATTGTTGTAGTCTTCACCTAAGATCCCACAATCAATAGTTCACTTAAGATTCTGCTGTTAACAAATAAACCAAACGAAGCAACAACAAATTTTACTACACAAGAGTCATCACTAAGAGAAATTATCCCCCTCTGGAGTGTAATAAAGGACTAAAAACGCTGCTCTCCATTTCATACTTTACTGAACAAAAAAAAAAAAAAACCCTTCAAAGGTCATCCACGCTCATGCATTAGATCACACTGTTATCTCTTTTTTATATTTGAAATCATTGTGCGCTCCACTTTGTGAAAACCAAGAAACAAAATTATTGTAATAAATAATATTATTCTTTATAGACCAAGACATACTGTTAGCAATCAGATAAAGCTGGCATCGACCCTCTGTTGTGTTCGCTATTCCTTACACATAAAGTTAGTTATGGCGCACGCCTAGAATCATGCAATCATATCTTAAATTCAGTTTAAAAGTATACTTTTATCCTTTTCTTATAATTAAATATTTTAGCATCTTGAAAGGGTATGTTTGATAATTTTATGTTACTTGGACAAGTTTTTTTCTTATTTTGCACATCTTTTTTATTTTTTAAATAGATTATAACATAAAACTCTTAAAGAATTGAACAGTCCGTATCACACACAGAATTTATTATTTTTTTCTCCCAGTCATTATCCATCAGCCCGTCACTTGATCACACACTCTCTCTCTCTCTCTCTCTCTCTCTCTCTCTCTCTCTCTCTCTCTCTCTCTCTCTCTCTCTCTCTCTCTCTTATTTAATTTTTCCCATTCTCCTCCGTCCCTTCCCAAGGCCCGCCCCTCTACTTTCATCCCAGCCCCATCCCCTCTTCCTTGCATGCATTACCCCACCCCGCCCACCCCCACAACGTGGCCCAGCCCGATAAGATTCTATAAAAAGAAACGCCACAGTTCGTGATTTAGCCCACAGTCGGCGGCCATATTTGATCCCCATCGCGGCGTACTGCTCGTGGCGCCGCGAAGAGAGAGAGAGAGAGAGGAGGCTCCATTAGTTCTAAACTCCTTGCATTTAACCATCTCATTTATCTAACTTCTTCGGGGGAGAGTGCTCCAAAAAACTATGAATTTTCTATTATTAAACAATATGGCGACTTGCACAAGCGATTTATTATGACATGATGCTGGATCTATTTAATTAAGTGGAGTTGAACGCAGGTCAAACACTCGATCATAATATTCCTGAAAAAAGCACACAAATGAAAGCAATTGTACGTTCTTAAACTTTTATTTGGGATACTAGATTTCTAGATCTTGTCAAGTTCCTGGGTTGTCGGCTAGGCAAGAGCTCGACGAAGTCGGATAGAAGGAACTTGAACGTGATTCTTGATTTTTTACAAACTTGCTGCATCTCGAATTCCACCTGAATGACAGTTTGAATAGATTTTGACGGTTTGAATGAGGTTGAAAAATAGTGTTGTCAGTCAGTCTTCCTATCCAGACCTTAAATGCCTTTAAAAAAAGATTTGAGTTACAATAGATTCAATAGATTTGTCTGGGCCTACACTCCTGTGCTTTTTTTTACCATAATAAACGTCAACAATACAATTTTATAGTCTAGATTCTAATTCTAGATCTACGATCATGGCATCGTTCAATTTCCAAATATTTGAAAAGACATCGTTGGAGGATATAAAACTTCTACTATGGGGTGCATCCTTGAAAGAAGAAGTGTTTTCTCGATGGTCCCAAGGTAAGAATTGGTAATGTTGAAGAATACCGGACCAGCGTATTATACATTAGAGATCATAGATTCTAGTATGTAGATTTAGTGTCTCAACCTTAGAAATTCATGATTTTCCCCAGTTTTTATTACGAAGTGACTATTCGGACTCGAGTCCGAATATGAAAAAGGAGAGGCTAGCCGTACTTAATGACGGCTAGACTGGTAGTCTAGCCGTACTTAACTTGTACGGCTAGACTGGCAGTCTAGCCGTACTTATTCTTATGATGGCTAGACTGACCATTTACAAAAAATAGGCCTACTGAATTGTAAATATACATTTTTAGTGTGCAGTACCTAGAAAGTATTTGTATTTGAGACGAAACCAGGTGCCTTAATGACAGTGCATGTATTTTAACCTCCTGTTTTCTAATGTTAATAGGGCCTAAGATTTATATAAGTACGGCTAGACTGGCAGTCTAGCCGTACTTAAGTACGGGTAGACAGCCAGGCTAGCCGTACTTAAGGACGGCTAGACTGTCAGGCTAGCCGTACTTAATATTGATGGCTGATTTGTAAATATGAAATTTTTAGTTTGCAATGCCTAAAGTATTTGTATTTCAGACAAAACCAAAAGGTGCCTTACTGACTTGCATGTATTTGAACCTGAATAATTACTAGATCTAGATCTAATGAGACCTGTGTACTTAACAGGCTTGAGTGGATTGGGCCAAACCTAGATCTAAGTACGGCTAGCCACTTCGTATGAAAAAATGTTATTCGGACTCTGATTCTTGTCCAGCATGACATCACTGCCAACTTCCTGTGACTCGTGACTCCGGCTTCCTGTCCTGTCTCACCCATGACTCGCCTCAGGCTGGGTAGAGACCGGGATCACTTCGGGCAAAATGGTGTTAAATTGTGCAGGAGCCGAGTTTTTATCTTATGATGAATTTGAGGCCGGCCTGAAAAGTTATAGCGCTTCTAATAAATGTTTATTTGTTAAGAGGTCATCAGAAGTAATTAAAGATGGCTCGTTAGCGTGTGTCGGGGTTGGATGGGCGGCCTGCACACGTGTGGCTGTGTGTGCATGTCGGGGAGGGGGGGGGGGGGGCACTATCGGTCCGGGCGTTGAACGTCGCATACGCGTCAGTCCCCCCCCCCCCCACCCCCCGGCTACTGATCATTACAATAATAAGCTAGTCTTGACGTAAATCTACGTAATGAATTGTGCGCTGGTCTATGGAATCAAAAGTTGCCGTATATGCTCGGCTCTACACAGCAACACAACTTTTTCTTGGTAAAACAATCGAGATGACACAGGCTTGTGTATTTGAACGAATCGGTCTTTTTTTTTTTACACAGCTCATAATATGCAGGTGCCAGGTGATCTGCTAATCTTCAATTTTATCTTTTTCTACAACAAAGAAAGTGGGAAACATGGGGGGTGCGGGGGGGAGGCGTATCAATGAGGCGGTGGGCATCGGATCGGCTGATAAAGTGGTGGGGAAACTAAAAAATGGCGGAAAATTGGAAGCACTGAACGTTAGATCTAAAGAACGAAGACACTTCCTTTTTTCCAGACCGTGTCCGAATAACATTTTTTCATATTCGGACTAGAGTCCGAATAATGACGGCCTTTTTATAAATCTCTCTTTGAAATGAAGAATCTCGGACCAGTAGATCTAGAAAAATATAATCTTGATTATGTTATAGTATGTTTGTCAAGGGGGAGACCCCCCAGACCCCCCCCCCCACACACACACACACTCTCGAGCAATTTTATAATATAAATTTACGAGTGGTCCGGTATTCTTCAATCTTCACTAAGAATTGAGAATGAGAATTTTTGTATAGTGACAGACTTCGGTGGTTCTTGTGGTCTAGAGATTTAAGAGAGGCACTGTATTTCATTCAATAGTGGTTTGGTTCCGGGGCTTTGAATCTTGACAGTGCCGAAAAATTTTCTCCTGCAAAAAATGTTCTTTCCTGCTAGCACTCTCTTATCATGTTCTGTCATCTGCTTTCATCTCCACTTTCTGCACCCAAACTCCCCCCTTGCCACCTCCTCTTACTCCTGAATCTCTCTGCTACTGCCTTTTTTTTAACTTACTCTTTGGCTCCTCTTACTGCTGCCTTTCAGCCACACCCCTGATCGATAGGTAAGCTCGAACATGTAGCCTTCTCGGATTATTAGGATGAAAAAAATCTCAGAAGTCCCATGTGTGCAAGTTGCGGAAGTTAAAGTTAAAGACTCCTTGGTGGTCCTTTTAAGTTGATAAATTATAGAGGCCACCTGAGCTATCAAAATTAATTCCTTACGAACTGAAAGTGCTTCAAACCTGCGCTCATCTTTGCAGTTGCAAGTGCCGTAAAACACAAAAAAAACCCCCACAAACCAGTTCTGTATAATTATAATCTGTTGCATGGTAGTGTCATGACAGAGGTGTATTGAGAAAAGTATCTTACACTTCTTTTTCACATTTCCTCGCGCTAAATCTCAAGGGTAGTCGACTGCTGGTTTTTCAACCTGCAGTGCCACTGATTTTTACACATGGACAGTTTCTGCTACTTCGCAGGGTCCCTTGCCATCAGGCAGCCACATTCTGATTGTACTGACTAGAGTATATTTTCAGTTTTGGTAGAGGAGAATTTTGAATTTTGCTTGGTGGTGGCTGAAGCCTACTTTTATATTTTTATGTATTTTAGAACCAGGAAGGGATCTTGAACATGTGTGCAACTTGCACATGGGACTTCCAAGACTTTTCGCCCTTATACCTGTGAAGGCTTGGTGTTAGATCTTACCTCTAAAATCAGGGGTATGACTGAAAGACAACAGTGAGAAGGAGCCAGCCTGAGAGCAGTAGAAAGAGAAGAGCCCAGCAAATGCCAGAGGTGGGATACAAGGGGGGAAAAATTGCGATGAAAGCCGGTGAAAGGACGGGACTAGAGTACCGGAAAGGAGGAGAAAGGAGAACATTTTAAAGAAAAAAAATTCCCGTTGCTGTCTGGTTTCGAACGTGAGACCTATTAAATGAGAGGCAAACACCGTACTTCTAGACCACGAGAATTTTGAAACCTTTTTCATGCTTGGTATATCAAACTGTGCACTTTTCAGGGGCTTGGCGTCTGTGGTGTAGCAGTCAAGTGCTTTGGTGTGGCGTACAGATGACTTGGGTTTGATTAATAACAAGCGGGGACAATTTTTTACCTACTTTTAAAAAACCACATTTCTTGCTTAATTTAATTTATGTTTTACGTGAATGTTTAACTTAATGCTGTGTTAGAAATTTTTAGCCGTGAGATATTGATTGATGTTGTTATAATATGTAAACCCCAAGTGCGTAGTTTTTTGCATGTGTGATTGATTGTATAATGGCTTTCTGCATTTCTTGCTCTTTGGGTTACTTTGCTACAACAGTAAAATTAATGAAAATGACGAAAAAAAAAAAGGTTTGATCTTCAATAGGAACAAGTCCTTCGAGACAAAGTAGGTTTTGACAAATTGAAGGATGAAGTGAATGATGTGTGTTAAAACAAAATTTGAGGAGTTTCAAAAGGGTACTTCCCCCTGAATAAAAAAAAAATTGGAGGGGGGGGGGGGGGGGGGTACATGAGCCTTTGTATTTTTCCCATAGTTTGATGTTTGCTAATGTAGGCTTGAAGCTTAAGAACCATTGCTTTGAGTGAAATGGTTATAGTGGCCAAATGTTTGTGTCCTGCGGCCATTAATAATGTTGATTTAGCCTGTGAAAGTAGTCTCTCTGCATGTGGGAGTAATTGTAGAAATTTGCCAATAATCTCATTATATGTTTCATTATGAGAAAAATTCCGAAAAGCTGTAAGAACTTTCTCTTCTTTTTTTGTGTTTTAGAAGTCCACCCTTTAAAAATCTGTCTGTGCATCTGCTTGTGTATTGTGTGGCAGTCTCATGCAGTCGTATCTGATTCAGTGCCAATCTTAACCATCCGTTTACCCCAAAATAGATGATCAGTCAATGTGAGAAGATTTTCATTTGGTCTTACACTTGGTCTGTTGCCACGACAGACAATAAATTTGTCGAGTTAAATGATAATATTATGGGCTGCATTGGAATGAGATTTTGATGCTGTTGTCCATGCACTTCTTTTTCCTTGACCTTGATCTTCCTTTGCCATGACGAAAGTAATGGGGGATGTTTGAACTGTTTCAAACATCTAAATTGAAAAAAGGTTGATTTTTTAGTGTTTTATTATTTATTATAGTAGAGGGTTTTACGGCGCTCGCAACTGCATAAGGTCATATGAGCGCCAAGGGCAAGGGGTGGGTGTCAACAGAGAAGTCCTTACAGGGAATCAGACTTACTCTGCTCACCTCTCTAGCTTCAACAGCACAAGGTCTGCTTCTACTATCAAGACACCCCGGAAATAGCAGGTCACAAGAGAGTGACAAACATACAAAAGAAATAGAAGAAAATGACAATAGTAAGGATTAGGAAAAAAAAGCAGCAGTTCCCTGCTGCAGATCAGGCACAGTTAATGAGTGTGACATGAATCAGCCCATTTACAATTCTACTGTGCTTGAACGAGAAATGTCCCCCCTTTGGGAATGGCCTAAAGACACTACAGTCAATGGCACTGCCCCGGGGGGAAATTTTCTTTGAGTGCTAAAGGTTTGGCGAATAGATCTCAAGCCACAAACGCATTGTTGAACATTCAGTTTTATGCTTGGCTGACTTGACTGTTTTTAAATTGGTGTGCCTGCTCAAGATTGTTATATTTTGAAAATTTATAGAGAGGCAACCTTCTTCCCTCTTTTAATAAAACTGATTGATAAATGGGTTAAATTAATTGGTATGTTTTCTATTCCAGGTTTTATTTTTAGCGAGTCATCTCCAACTTCCTTGATTCAGTTTGAAGGAGGACCCTGTGCAGTTATTGCTCCTGTACAAGCTTTCCTTGTAAAATGTGCGTTATTTGGCCATGGAATGCCGAACATGGATGCCCTTACGTCCGTATCAAGTATGTAAATATCCAGTTTAGTTTGTCATAATTTAATAAACCCTCATTTATCAGTTTTGAAAGTTCCCCTGATGATTTTGATATAATGATAAATGATTTTCTGACTTGGAAAAATTGGTAACAACAAATTTGTTATCCCCTTGGATGAATTTTGAGTACACTAGTACAGTACCCTGACTACAAGCCTGAGATGGAATATCCAGAGGAGGAGAAAGTGTTTTAAGCTTGTGGTCCCTTCTTGGACATAAGCCACCAACAAGAGCTCTCCATGAATCCAGATCCTGGGCTAGTTTTTTCACCTGTCCCCACAAAGTCCCAATTTCGTTGTGTCCACTACCATTCCAGATCTTGGCTTTCAATACCTTGCTTTTTTAACTCTCCCACTATAGATCCATCCACTCCCAGGGCTGAAATGTTGTTTGATTCTCTTGTTAGCATTTCTGTAGCTTGGATTGTTTTACAGGGAGGAATAGTTAACCTTTAGCACAATCCTCCCCCTTTCTCAGTTGGACTTTGGACTGTCCTTGGTAGAGTTTAGGCATTTTTGGTCTACTTAAATTGGTTTGTCTTCAACTGGTTGTTGATAAAACAATAACTGATATCTCAGTGAAATGATCAGGTGCGGTTTTCCTGTAGAACACGGTCGTGCAGTGCCGCCCAAAATTTTAAGATGTTTTATTTTGTAAAGCACCCACAAACAGAAAATAAAAGAAGTCAACCACAAGCACTCGCCAAATATTTTATCGATGCAAGGTCCTCGCTGGCGCCTTCACGGCCATTTCTGTGTCTATAAGGCCGTAAAACATCTACCATACCAAGCCAAAGTCTTTGTGCTTTAAATAAACATAATATGTTCAGCAGTAGTAATCTGGCTTTAAAAAAACCTCTTTGGGCGATGGCGACACTTGCAGCTAATTTGGCGGTACGTTATCAATTAATAAGTTTAATAAAAAGACACCAAATTTCAAATGTGTGCCTGTCAAAACATAGTCCACGGTAGGCAGTCTAAAAATAAACTCTATCTCAAACTGTACACTATTTTCTATGCCCACACTATGTGAGCTCCAGAGCAATCCAGTGGAGTGCTCAAGTGAATTGCAATTAGTTTATAGTCTTAACGTTATTTTAAGTCTTTCTCTGACTCCGTAACCCTGAACTTGAGCAAGGTCAATGTGACATAGTTAGGTCACCCCTCGTAGAGCCTTTGAATTGTGTGTAGTGGTGAAAGTGTTATTTCTTAAGTGTTCAGTTCAAATGCAAGACGAATGAAATTGATTTTTAGCTAACAAATAGATTTAGTTTAAAAAAATTAAAGTGATGAAAAGATATTGAAAGTAAAAGCAGAAGGTCCTCGCCAGTCATCATTTACTAAGCCCTTGACAATCTTTAACCTGCCATAGCTTATTTGTGCAGGCCCACTTTTTAGCCCCACGAGCCACCCTGGAAATGATATATTATATTATATTTATTTGCTTCAAGTTATTAACTTTTGTATTTGTTAGTTTTTAGATGTTGAAAAGCAAAATTGTCATTTATTGTTTTCAGGTGAAGGAGCCAGTAATCTGTTGCTCGAAGCTTTGGTAGAAATCTTATCCCAAATGAATTCCAGTGCATATGTCGTCGTTTCCTTTGATGAAAAATCTGTGAATGTTAAAGAGACTTCTTCAAATCAACAAGCAGAGGATGAGATGGGAGGACCCAGCAAGTCCTTACAGTCGGAGGAGTCAGCTCAAATTAAGACAGATGCCTCACTGGCAAAATCTGACCTATCTTTCCATGCCAATTTAAGGTATTTTGATAATAAATCATCGCTCAAGTATTAAAGTATGCAGATGTAAATATGTATCATACGTATGTCAATGGTTGTGTGTTTGACTGGTTTAGGTACCACTTTCATGGGTGTCATAATACTTTACTCTAAGGTATCAAATAAATGGAAGGTGGAAGGGG